AATCTGAACCAGTGTTGCATTCAACATACCATGTGACACAAAAAAACTGACGTTTAGCTGTGGTTTTTTAACATTTACTTTTAAATTAACAAATTGAGTAATGTATAATTCTAACATTTGAATTGTAATCGACAGTTTGATACCAAACTTATTGACAAAAATTCATGAAATAGTAGTTCAATAAAATTTTTAATGTGAGTCAACAAATGAGATGACATGGCCTTTCACCTGTGACCTGTCTCGAAAGGGTTAACAATACAAAAAAATAGAAATTCACAAGTGCTCATTGCTGATATAGCCCTGTTTTCATAATAAGCAATGTTCTTCTCAAGAAATAAAAAATCTATGCATTACCAAGCTCTGAGATTTGTGGAATGAAAGTCTCACTGTCCTTATCATGCTGGCCCTCTGAGCTATGAGACCTTATTCTTGAAGATGGTTGGTTCTCAGACCAGGAACATCGTGCACTAACACCACTTAAGTTAGAGCCATCCACTTCAATCCCTTTGTCAACAGCTTCCTGCAAAAAATACAATGATTAAAGCTGGTATGTAGATTCATGTATAATTTTAGCCAAGATAGCCAAGGCTAAAGTGTCATGAGTGCACGTGCAGCAAGCCACTACTGTAGAGGCCCAAAGGGCCTTGAATATGAGGCTGATGCCCTGACTAGGAGGATGGAGTTTTTAAGTGTTGCACTATTTTCTTGCAATCTGAGCTATTTATAGCAATTAGTGGTATTGTATATGGCATACATGAGGTTGGTCAATTGAAATGATCTTATAACCACCATAAAGAAATATGAAATAAATCTAAATTATCTTTTTCTTTCTAAAATGACTTCAAATTATAAGATGAAACTACATTTGTTTATCCTAAATAACTAAAAACTTCTAACAGTATATATTTGTTTCTACTTATATTTTAGTGTTTTATTGCCTTTTGAACCCTGTCTAGCTAATTATCCCACCATACAAGATGTAACTCACTTGGCGAACATGAAGATCACGTTTCTACTATGAATTACATAATGCATGGGCTACTCACGAGCACATCTCATGAAAATTTATTATTATTATTATTTTTCTTTACCTAATCTAACCTAAAAAGTTTCTAATTCTTACATTTTAGTTACTTTTATAATAATAAATAAAGAATTACATAATTCGTGTATTAATCGTGAGTGTACCTAGTGAAAAAAAAATTATCCTTCTTTATTTTACCTTATCTAACCTAAAAAGTTTCCATTTATTACAAAAAAGTTTCCAATCTCTTAATCAAATGACATATTACATTGTTTTCTGTACAGAAAAATTTCTATTTCACTTCTAGTTCAAACTCTATTCCCATGTGAAATACATGGACAAATTTAGCTTAATTTTTAATGGCTCTTATCGTATAGTTAGAAAGAGAGAAAAATTGTAATAGTTATAGAAGATTGTCTGCTTTTTATATGTTGTTATTCTGTATTCTTAGGGTTAAGTTCCATTGACAGTTGACAGCAAAAAAAAAGGCCCAGATAAGTACTATATTTCTTATTTGTATTGTTTATTATTATAAAAGTAACTTAAAAATTAAGCTAAATTTGTCCATGTACTTCACATGGGAATACAGTTTGAACTAGAAGTGAAATAGAATTTTCTCTGTACAGAAAACAATGTAATATGTCATTTGATAGATTAAATCCCTATCTTTCTATTGGCTATATATAATATGGTATTAAATGAAAATTTGTGAAAGAGACGACGTAACAAGAGGGGTCTGATTTTCTAGTTTATGGCTCTGTAACCAAACAAGATTGCCTTATAAAAGTTATAATTTTCCTATCCGAAAATGTATTTCTGATAGCTACTTCTCTCTTCTCACAAAATTACTTTTCCCATTTTGTGCTGCCTTCTATATGTGAACTTTTTCAAATGCCTACCACAAGCTTTCTATATTCCTCTGTTGAAATCCAAAGTTCCAACATGTCTCTCATGCATCAACTCTCTACCAATAGCAGAGCACTATTATCATGTGACTCCTTCCATGCACCACTACTGAACTATCACTTTGAAGTATGGCAGAAGACGCGAGCACCAGAAGATTGTGGGGAGTGTGAAAAGAGGGAAGTACCTATCAGAAATACATTTTTGTATTGGGAAATTATAACTTCTGATACATTACCTTACCCTCTTTTCACAAGATTATTTTGAATCCCATGTTGTAAAGGAGGAGGGATAGATGTGAGGGAAGAACAGGCATATCCCCCAAAAGCATCCTAAGGACACCACTGGGAATGAGAGAAATACATTAGATTATCTGAGGAGGGGCACCGCACCACTTCTGAACCAGGTATCTCTTTGCCACGAACAGGTGAAATATGAATGGAGCACATATGTGTGGGAAAAAATAGGTCAGTAATGTGATCCCAATCAGAGAAACAGATACACTCAATCCCACGTAATGAAAGTGGGTAATGGAGGATGTGTCCCATGGTGTAGAGTGGTTAGGGTGCACAGGAACATACTCGGTACGTCAACTTCATCCAAAACCTTACTCTCTGGGTACTGACATCCATGTGAGGGTAGGATGAGGATCATACTGTCTACACCTCAAGCCTTAGAGTCATGAATGTACATATACTATTGACTCCAGAATATATCACAGGATGAAAATTGAGTTAGGGAGCCAGGAATGTCATCTGGTATCCAAGGGAAGTCCATAGCAAGCAATCAACCCCTGTGACCTTGAAACTGGTCCAACCATCCACAGGTCTGTAAAATTCTCTTCATTCTGAGAACGAGGGAATGCCCAGGACAGAAGCGGAAATTGGCCACAAGACCTCCTGTGACCCACAACACAGAAGATAGAGTTGAAGGGGAAAAGTGAATGACCCAAAACCTGTGTGAGGACTTATGTGATTGGTTTACTTGATCTCCAAAACCTCATTTGCTGGGAACCAACATACACATGAGGGTAGGAGGAGAGAACCCAGTTGGAAGGGTGAACTGCATTTAGGCATCTCACCCCGAGCATGTGTCATTTATCTGGAGAATTTTGTAACTCCTACACTGGCAGAACACCACATTCCTACTCTGAACTGAATGGTTATAACCATCTTTGTGGAACCCATTCAGTAGGTTGCCTCCATGGTCAACCACCCAGCAGCTTAGAACTGGTGAGTGGTAAGAACTCCTGTACTCCTCTGGAAGAAAGAGACTGAGAAGTGCATTGGAGAGTCTGGAGGGACTGCTACACCCAAGACAGTGCAATGGTTGATCATGAAACCCCATTGTGAAAAGCAGAACATGGACTTATTCAGTCCAGGCATGGTAGGGATGGGCAGCAATCCCCTTCTGCTTTATCCATGCCATCCACGGGTTGTACAGTCCAGGATGGATATTTTTATGAAGTAAACATCATGAGGTTATTCACACTAGTGATCTTATGAAACACCCCATCTTAAGGGCAAAGTGTATGAATCAACATGGAGTACAGTGCTGATTTGTGTTTTTGTCTGTTTGAGAATAAATATATCTGAGAATGGTTATAGCTATCTAAGTGGAACCCATTCAGTGTTCAGAAAGAATACCTGGTCAAGCACCACTCACCACAGAGTGGGATCCAAAGTGAACTTGAAGCAAGGGCCCCTGAAAGAAAAGAAAGCAAAAGTAAGGACTTACCCCGTGTCAAAGGAGGAATAAGGCAACTGGATCAAATGATGAATGCAATTGGTCAAGGTAACAGGGGAAAGATCACGGGAAGAGGAAGTTTGCCATGGAATAAGGAGACTGGAACAAGAACCACAGAAGGAAGCCATGCATGCAATATAACAACGAAGGGCATGTATTGGGCAAAGGAGTCTGTCTGGATCAGGATAGAGATGCGAGATAGAAGGAATAGAAATTGGATAAAAGGAGGAATGATCCTCGCGAACTGCTAAGGTCTGGAGAAGGAATGCATGATCCGGATAAAGGATAAGTTAGGTCGAATGATACAAGAACCTGGTGATGTTGTGAGGGAAAATACCTGATCCACGATTCTTGCAAGTCAATACGAGGAAGAAATATGTCTTAAGGGAGACATGAAACAAAGAACAGGAAGAAAAGGGTATGAAAGGAGGTAAAGTAAGGGCATGGAGGACCATGTTAATGTCCCAGTCCTGAAATGATGGGCATCTCTGCAGCCAACAGAGCTGGAAAGAACAGTGGGAAGAACTGGGGAAGAAAAGAACCTGGGGAAACAAAAAAAAGGAAGGTATAGGATAAGGCTGCCTGGAAACCCGAAATCAAGGAGACCATTAAACCTATGTCAAAGAGCCAGGTAAGGAACTTGGAAATACTGGCAACTGTAGGCTGAGAAGCCAGGAAACCCGAACCAAAGAACAGGAGTGAAAAACACTCCACTACTCTGCGTGAGGAACCGGAACTCCTCGCCAGGGATCAGACAAAAGCCAGGTGTGAAGATGGAGGACAATATGGAGAGTATCCAAACGATGACAGCACCACCGAAAAACAGCAGTATATATGGACTAATTCATGGGATAAACCAGATTGAATGCACCAGAAATATGGCATGCCATCAAACAAATATGATGGGAGTGGGCCCAATAGAGAAGATCCAAGGTGCGAAATACAGGGATCTCAACCGGGTGCTGCCTTGGTGATTGATATAAGCCACCACTGTAGAATTGTTAGAATGGATCATAACGAGATGACAGATGTTTATAAAAATAAAATGATCCAATGCCCGAGGGATGGCCAGGAGTTCTAGGACGTTGATATGAAGAGAACATTCTTCTGCAGATCAAGTACTCTAAACCTCTTGGTGATCGACCCATGCACCTCAGTCCTGAACAGATGTAACTCTGGTGACATATAGGCAATGTTCAACCACCAGCTGAGATCGTTCATCAAGGAGGAGGGAAGGTGAATAGGAGCATCCAAGGGATCTCATGAGAGGTCCCACTATACATGAAGGGTCCACTGAAACAAACACATATGAGCCCTGTCAAAGGGGTATGATAGGTGTCAGACACAATAACCTCCCTAAAAATGTAGAACCTCGTTAGTAGTCAGTAAGGGAGCAGACAGAGCTATCCGAACGGCCAGTTCCATAGAATGGAGCAGAAGAAGAGGAGGTTTGGCCAACTGAGATGAGTGTTGAAGAAAACGCCCAGATGTACAAAGAATTGGGTAGAATGAAGGAATGGACCCCTACAATGTGATCAACCATCCCACCGGCACAGTTTCGAAAAGGAGCTGACTAGTATGACTGGCCAACTCTCCTTCGGAATGGGCAAGAAGAAGCCAATCATCCATGTACATGTGGAAGTGCAGCCCCAGGACATGAATATACTGAGCAGAGGAGAGAACCACATGACAAAAACATACGTCATGGAATCCAAACCGAAGGGAAGGGTGTAAAAAGGTATAACACCCCACGATGGGGAAACAGGCAGGAATAAAACCCAAACGATCCACATGGAGCAGGTACAACAATTAGGGTGATGGGTGTACAAGAATATAGCATTGCAACACAATAAGTCCTAAAGAGAAGTGAACCACATGTGTAGGGCAAGAGCTGAAGACAATATCCAGCCAACAATGGAAGAGAAGAGAGAGAAATGATGTCCCCAGAAACCCCACAGGGTTCCCGTGAGGAGCATTAGACAGGAAGAGAATTGAGGTGAGGTATTACAAAAGTGTCAGAGGAAAACCAAGGTGGGAAAACAGGGCATAGGTAGGATAAACAGGAAAATTGTGCCTCGTGAAACATTTTTATTAGTAGTAGTATTTATTTTACCTAATCTAACCTTAACTAACCTAAAGAGATCACTATTTTCACATTTTAGTTACTTTTATAATAATAAAGAATAAACATGAAAAACAAGAAATAAAGTACTTACTGGAGTATTCTTTTTCTTTTGCTGTCGACTGTCGATGATACTTAACCCTACTAATGGTAGTACTGCACTAAGTAATTTTTATTTAATTAAATAATGCACCAAAGAACATAGAATAATAAAATGCAAAAAACAGACAATGTCCCATAACTATCATAATTTTCTGGCTTTCTAACTATGCGAAAAGAGCCATTACAAATTAATCCAAGCTAGTCGACATGTTTCCCAAGGGAACAAAGCTTGTACTAAAAGATAAATTGAGGATTCTCCGTTCAAAAAAATAACGTAATATAATAAGTCATTTGATAGATGAAAACCATAGCTTTCTATTGATTATAAATAATATAGTATTAAACATAAGAGAGAACTATTAACAAATCCTGAAAGAGAGGATGTGACAGGTGGGTGTGGAAAGAGGGGTCTGATTTTCTATTTGACGGTTGTGTAACCAAACAAGATTGAAGGCTATAAAAATCTGCTCTGTATGAGCGAATGATAATGAGTAATTTACAACACTGCTGCCTTATATACTATCCTTTCTATTCTTCATCTTACTATATAGGATGTAGCATGTATATATATGTATCTATCTGTGTATGTGACTGAAATAATAAATACAATGTGTTGCCAGCTAATGAATGGCACCACAAACAAAAATACATAAAAATATTTCACGCTTTGGGTATTGAAGATTGGAAAAATAATTATGGTATGTGCAACAACTATTTCTTTATCACAGAACATAATTTTAAATCAAAGTACTCTCCTTACAACAAAAACACAACTTTTGCTAGGTCTTTACATGAGGGTTTATTTATATCTTTATTGATGTAAGTTATAAATATAGTACTAAAAAAAATGGAGTTCTAAAAAAAATTTTTTTTGCACTAAAGGGCATCACTTTTAATGTATAAAAACATTACATTTTATAACAGCACAATCTGAACAATTTTCCTGTGCAATACTTTGCAAAAAAATCCTTTTTTAAAGAATGTTCACTTTTTCTAAATTTTTGTAAATGAGGTATGAATACTATGATTAGTAATTACTAGTACAAACAGCTGCTCATATGGGAGTATTTCTGCTAGTTAAAAACAAAACAAAAAACACTTTTTAAATGTTTAAAGGCCAGATTAAAACCATGCGTTACTCACCTGGACATTAAGATCCAGATCAAACATACTCTCCCCTCTCCTCATGTCTGTAACTAACCAAGGACTACCAGCTCCTTCAATGTTTTTCATTAAATCAATCACACCTGGACCATTCCATCTCTGAGCTGCCATTAATTCTTCTCCACATACACCTACAATCTATCATTGAAAAAGTAAATAGATTACAAGACAATATGTAGAATTATACTGTTATTTTCTCTACCCAAACTCTATATGAGGTTGATCAATTTGACTGATCTTGTAACCACCATAAAAGTGTTAGTGAAAGAGTAACAGCTTCTAAGAAAGTAATATATGGGTTTTCATATATTGCTGAATACAACAACCCTAAAATTACTAGTGGGATCTCTATGGAATTCCTTGGCTTTTTAACACAACAGGCTCATTCAAATCAGATGAGTTCATGACCTCAAACTGACCTTTATGGTTTCCATACCAGAACTTGTAATACATTTTGTGTATCTTCAAGAAATTTCACAAGCTTTCAGTAAGCATCAAGTCTTTTGTAGACAAAAAATCTGAATTTATTGTGAAGTATTTTTACAAAACATTTCTCCATGAATATATGGAATCAAGGTGTGATTTTCATGTTAAGATTAAAAATGCTTTTCTTCATCTGATAATTGTCAAATTTCATTTGCATGATTTCTAAAACCTCCTAAGTAAATTTCAAAAATGTTTTTTTCAGTAAAACTTTATATTTTATCTGTTATTTTCTCTACCTAAACTTTATATGAGGTTAATCAATTTGACTGATCTTATAACCACCATAAAGAAATATGAAATAAATCTAAATTACCCTTTTTTTCTTTCTAGAACGACTTCAAATTGTAACATGAAACTACATTTCTTTATCCTAAACAGCTTTAAACTTGTAACAGTATACATCTGTTTATAATTAAATATTGTTTTATTGCCCTTTAAACCATGTCTAACTACAAAACCCACCACACAAGTTGTAAATCAGTTGGCGGAATGTGTGGTTCAGATTACTTTATTGAATTACATGATGCATGGTATACTCAAGAGTCGCTTGTGAGCATCCCCGATGAAAAAAAAATTTTTTTTTTCCATTTTACCTAACCTAAAAAATATATAATTTTGACATTTTAGTTATTTTTATAATAATAATAAATAAAGAATGCACGTGAAAAATAAGAAATATAGTACTCAACTGGATCTTCTTTTTTTTTGCTCTTGACTGTCCGTGAAACTTAATCCTACTTTTTCTACTAATGGTACTACTGCACTAAATAATTATTTATTTAGTTAAATAATTCACTTAAAAACACAGAATAACAACAAGTAAAAAGCAAAGAATGTCTAATAACTATCACAATTTTTCTGGCTTTCTATCTGTGTGACAGAAGCCATTAACAATTCAGCTAAGCTCATCAATGTTTCTCCTGTGTGAATAAAGATTGAACTGGAAGTGAAACAGACAATTCTCTGAAGAGAAAACAACATAATATACCTGATTTGATAGACTAAACCTTTGGCTTTCTGTTGAGTTATAAAAATATATATAAGTAAATGTGAGAGAAAACTATTGGCAATTTGTAAATGAGAGGATGTGACAGGAGGGTATGGGAAGAGGGCTCTGTGTGTGTGTGTGTGTGCGTGCTTTATAGCAATGCCACATCAGGCTATATACTGTGTCTACCAAGGGGAATCAAGCTACTGATTCTACTGTTATAAATCCATAGACTTACCACTGTCCTACTGGGGGACAAGAGAGGCCTGATCTTCTAGTTTATGGCTCTGTAACCAAATAAGATTGAAGGCTATAAAGAATTGTGCTTTGTCTGAGTAATAACAATATTATAATGATTAATTTATGTTAAATTTATTTCTTTGAGGGGTGGCAAATAAATGAAAGAGGGGATATCTAAACAGCAAATGTCACAATTCTCATACTTAGGGAAATTGAGGATTTTTTTATGAATATTGCCTTATAAAATTGAGAGATCAAACTTATTTAGTATTAAAAATCTGGATTATTAGCTATGTTTTGATGCACGTGTATTCATATACTATGATAATAAAGTAATTAAATTTTGAATGTAACTCAGTAGCACCTTGTGAAATGCACAGGAAAATATATCTGTATGAAAAGAGTTAAACATATTTTGTATAAATTATTAATACACCAAGTTTCTTATGGTTCAATTACTTTGTTGGTTACAGAGTCCATAATACTGATATGAAGAAATTTAAAAACACTATCAATATTAATTCCACTTAGTACTCCTGAGGTCCCATATACATTTTTTATAAAAAATGAGTAATTACTCTAATGTTTTGACCACTTGTTTACATAAAATGTTGCAACAAGTGCCAGAAAAAAACAACTCAATATGACCCAATATGTGGACCAAACTTGTAGTAAAGAGTATAGAAACAAGTCAATACTTAAAGGTTAAAAGATTCAATTTTTAAATCAGAAGGCAGTATTTTCCAGATTTAAAGCACAAAGGCACATATGATACAAATGTTGGCTTATAAGACAGTATAAGGTGATAGGGATACATACAAAGAAGAAAAAGACTTTACAAGTTCCAGTTTAGGATTATAATACTATAACAGGTCTCAACTGCTAAATTATATGGCAGCTAACATAAGCTTTACAAAAAGTATACTGCTGAGGTTATGAGTGCAATAGTCTATCCAGTATACTAACAATATATTGTCAGATAGCAAATTCTATTATTTTGGTTATGGTTTTGTTTATCATTCATTTATTATTCCTTCTATTGTTTAGTATATCTATGAATTTTTAGTTACATTAAAATGCTAACTCACCTAGCTGATCATGTTTATTTTGTGTAAACATGTATGTCTTATGATGTGACATACAGATATTATTAATGTAGCAATATTTATGATCATGAGATGTACTCTCGTGACCTAAGCAATGAATAAGTTCATAAATGTAGTCACAACATAGTTAGTGAAAAATATAGTTATTGAATTATTGATGTTTGTCACTTGATACTGTTATTAATATGGAATGGTTATTTTGGAATGTCATGTTTTTTTTAAAATATGTTTTTTCTTCTTTTGGTTCCTTTTCCTGATTCCATTATTTGAAATAATTAAAATTAATATTTATACTTTATTGTTCATTAACATTAGTATCAAGTCCTGCCAGATATGTTTATTAACCCTATCACCCTGGGTACCCTTTACTGCACATGACACAAAGTTTTAGTGTCTTACATTCAAAATGTAATTAAACCACTTTTTATTTATGTTATACCAATTAG